TCATTGCCTGGCTGCTTTAGAATATTTCCTTTTCCAAACATCTCCTACCCTCAGTCCAAGAGAAATGTTAAAGGTGACAGGATCTCTCTGAGCCCTGAATTTTCCTCAGAAATTTGCACTTTCAGGTTCTATAAAGCCAAGAGGAGCTTAATTGCCTGCAACTGCAATTCCAGCCACTGCAAATCATATACAGCTCTCCCATGAAAGCATTAAAGAGCTAAGACTTAATTAGCATCCCTGATTAAATAGCAATTCATATAGCCATTATATCTTCCAGTTATGCAGCGCAGAGCTCTGGAAAAGCAGAGAAGGGGAAAAAAACAACAACCACACACACTCCTCATCTCAATGAAAAAATTCACCTCCCCCCACTTTCTCCAAACTTCATCCTGGGGAATGTTCATTATTTACCATGAAAAAGGCACTGCCAGGCACTATTTGAATGCTCCCAGTTTCCATCAGCAAACTCCACCTGTGTGAGAGATCAGAGAGCCCCTGTGCCAGCCTGGCAAAGGCAGGGGCAAACATGAGAGCAGCTGAGGGAGAGCAGCATGAGAAGGCTCCCACAGGCTCTCACGTTCCTGGGGAGGAAAGGGGCTCTCAGCACAGAAAACCCCACAGTGCTGATGGAAGTCTCCAGAACAGGCTTTGCTCAAACTCTGCTCTGTCACCACATTTCTCTTCACAGAGGCACAACTTCCCAAGAAATTCCTGGGATTCATATTCTCTAAACCTCAGAGAAAGGAAAAATAGTTCTTATTTATGTTCACAAGTGGAATGCATGGTAGAGGATTGTTTACCTGAAGGGAATTAATAATTAGATTCTGGTGTGAGTGTTGTGATTAATTGGCCAATTGAATCCATCTAAGCCAAGGTGTCACTTCCCAAGAATATTCCTGGGATTCACATTCTCTGAACCTCAGAGAAAGGGAAAATGATTCTTATCTCATTTACTTCTCCTGTGTTGTTCACAAGTGGAATGCATAGTGGAAGATTGTTTACCTGAAGAGAATTGATAATTGAATTCTGGTGTGTTTTGATTCATTGACCAGTTTGATCCAGGTGTGTGTGTCAGGACTGTGGGCTGACTGTCATGAGATTCTGTGCAGTGTGTGCAGAGTTGAGTACTTGTACAGATTAGGTTTAGATGTAATGTAATATAGTGTAAAATAATATAGTATAATAAAGTAATTAATTAGCCTTCTGATAAGATGGAGTCTTCCTCATCATTCCTCCTGGATCTTGGGCAAAAATATTTACTAGACTGCTCTTCTTCTGCCCTGTTTGCACGTCAGCATTTCAAACACAGCACAGGGAGAGAGGATCAGCTCCTTCCTGGGACAGCAGGGATGGCAATTCTTCACCCCCCTTGCTGTGATGGAAAAAGGGGAGCAGGAGCAGAACTGGGAGGCAGAGGCACATCCAGGGACACCCTCTCTGTGCTGGGATAGCACAGCCAGGGGTGGCTCTATGCTGGACTAAGAGCTCGTGTTTTGAGGTGGAGGAAGTCCCTTGGATTGGGAATTTCCAGGCCTGAATATAATTATCCCCCACTTAGTTCTGCCCAAAAGGTGCTGCCTTGTTCCTTGCTGGATTTGGGAAGATCTGCAGACAAAGAGGAGGAGCATCTGTTGCAGTTTTTACCAAGTGGATCATGCAGCACCAATAATTCCTTCTCCCCTGGCTGTGCTCTCAAGGGGCTGGAAGGATCATTCCATTCCAGCCCCTTGAGAATCTCATCTTATGAAGCCAAGCAGGAAAAATGTACAAGAAGCAGTGATGGGACAATAGCAACAAAGAAGTAAAGAAAGAGAGCAAAAGTAAATTAGCACCACATGTGCAATTACCATCATAGAACAATATTTTGCCAGGACAGGATTAAACACTGCTCCTCTACTACAGCAGCCTCTCAGTTTTCACATCAGGAAATGATCACAAATCATGGATGATTTGTGGCTTTTAATGACAAAGCACAGGGTCAAGAACTGATTTGGGCTCCAACCACACTGCTCCAGGGGAGCGCATTGAGATTTTGGTAGCTTATCTTTCAGACAAATGGAGAATTGCACTGCAGCAATATTCTTTCCCTCAGCCAAACTGGAAATCTTGGCTACAGGAAAGAAGTCTGTGATGAGGATAAATAAACTGTCACAAGACAAGACTCCAATAAATTAGCCAGACAGACAGAACAAAGACAGATGGGATATAAGAGGAGAGGGAGTTGCTGTATTTAGTGTCTGAAATGTCATTTGGATGCTGCTCACTGCTAATGTGCCTCCTGGGCCTTGCAGAGTCCTGCTCCATTGGCCTTCAGAGAGCCAGAGGTCAAATTTACATAGAATAATCTGAATACTTGCTCAGATTTGAACATTCCCTGCTTCCTGCTGAAAACATTCTCCAGCAACTTTCTGGAACAAATGTGTTCTCACAGGGCTGAGCAGTCCCTCAATGCACCCCACACTCCTTCTGGCATTCCCCATTTCTGCTCTAGTCCCATCCCACTATCCTATTCCCTTTCCAGAGCTCTTGGAGCAGTGTTTTTTCCCCTCCTTTTCCCATCACTCCCAAATCTCACCCAGGTCTCTGATGCCAATCCCCAAGGCACTGTTCGCCCCTGATGCTCCACAGCCCAGTTCACCCCTGGCTCTCGTCTCTGCAGCTCAGCCACTGTCTCCTGCTGAGGGAACTGCCAGGATTTCTGGATTTGCACAGCCCCAAAGAACTCAAGGCCATCACTGAACACACAAAACATCTCAGAGATGAGTGTGGAGCAGTTTCAGCTGTTTGCACTGTAATACATGACTGCTCAGTTGAGGAAAAACTTGGAACAACATATGGTCCCAATTACCTCTGTCCTCCTGCAACCAATACTTCTCTTTTCCAGCTACAATTTATCTGTGCTGCTTGGCAGCTCAGCTGGCTCCCCTTCTCCTGAGGAACACAACCACATGCAGATGCTATTTATACACCAGGAAAATTATTTCTGCAGCCATATTTTCCCAATAAAACCAGCCTCGTGTCCCATCCAAAAGGTGAGAGTCATGATCTGTGACTGTGAAAGATGCCTTGGCACTTTTTGGAAAATAAATCCACAGTCCTGGCACAGTGTCAGCTTTGTAATTGCATTCTGTGGACCTGGTAGCTCTTTCCTAACAAATAGCTGATGAATTCCACCCCAGAAGTGACTGGGAGTCAGCCCCAGGTTCCAGGAAGATGTTAAATCAAAGAACAAACTTCATAATGAGCAACACAATTATAAGCCTCATTTTTTTTCCCTCATGGATCTGTCCTTACAGGTATTTTTTATGCTCTTTTTCAGCTCCCACAATCCACTCACAATAGCTGGGCTCAATAGGATTCACAGGAGGAAATCTCTTCCTCACTTTGTGTTTGAAATGCTGGTCAGAACCCCAGGGGAATACAAATGGCACACAAAACCTCATTTCCCTCACTCCCTACAGCAGCAGCTTGGGAGGGTTCAGTTTCTTCCCATTTAAAACTTTCCAAGCCTTGGCTGAAGGGAGAGTCCCACATGGTGACAGTGCCAAATGCTGACAAACAGATCTGAATGGGAGCAAAATGTGTTTTGGAATAATGAATTCAGGTTTATTTCCCTTTGCACTGGTTTTATAAGGTGCATTGTTGTATTTAGGAGCAAAGGTAAAGCAAAAAAAATTGATTTGCAAAAAGTCAATTGCAAACCAGCTGTTTCTAGGTAAGAAAAAGATCCCTCCACACATGGAAACTGCTACAGAAATCCCTACAAATGCCATATGTTTTTTTATCCAGTGTCTTAGGGTTCATTTAATTCATGCAATTTGAAAATGAGAACAACATGCTATCACTTAAAAAACCCAGAAAGCCAAGCCCAGCATTATTATGAGGCACCATATTTATTGTACACCAATGGAACATCCTTGCTCAGCTTATCCACAAAAAGTCCCAAAGATGGGAATTTTGCAGCCCAGCTCTGCAAGCTGAGGCAGAATGTGAAAGAGAAGAGGTGTTTGGAGCATCTCCCATTCTGTCACCCCCACCAGGCTGCACACTTTTCACAGTGCCATGTGCTGCCAGGTACTCAGCAGTTTGTTGCAAAGCAGAGAGCTGGATGCTCAGTAACCATTCTGAACTAATTTTTCTCACTCTCTGGAAACAATTTTCTAGGCCATCTATCTGGGAATGTCACCTTCCTAATGGGAAGCAATAACTGCTGCCTCCTTGAGCTCCTGGAGAACACAGCTGAGCTTTACTTTTCTTTTTATTAACAATCTACAGCAGTGATGGCACAGGAAAAAATGTATTTTATTCAAGACTTTAATCAACACTTGATAAGAATTACGTGCTTTCCCTCTTTAAATGTAGCTCTGTAGTTTTTTTTTCTTTCTTTATACTAAAATGGATAAGTTTTGCTTTAAACTGGTGAGATTGATGCTTGAAATTAAGAAGTTTAACACAGCTGAACAGCAGGAGGAAAACTTTGAGCCATGCTTGCATGAGAAACCTGCCAGGGAGGAGATGGTTCCATGATTGGAAATGTCTTTTAATTTGCTTCACTACAAATGCTTCCATTAAAAAAAGGCAAAACATAAAAAAAGGTGTCCCCCAAAACATAAAAAGAGATGTTCCCAACTGGTTGAAGGTTTCACAGGAACTGCGTGAACCCCAGCGAGCACTGAACTTTTCTGGGTGCAGTGACTGGGAGCACTGAGAGAAATACTCAAAACACCATCTTACTTCAATGAATTTTTAAAATAAAACTGAAAAGATCATATTCAGCACCAACATTTCTGAAGAAAAATGCTGAGCCTAATGCAAGACCAGTGAGCAGCACTGCCCTGCTCGTGCAGAGCTCCTGGAGGAGAAACACAGGAATGGGGAGCAGAGGAGAAAATTCCCTTCCACTCCCTCCACTGTCCCTGGCTCTTGGTTGGGAAGAGAAGGAAGAAGTAGGGAGCAGGCAGAATATTAGCTATATTAGATATATTATATATATTCCTTACCTGCCACAGAGAATCCCAAGGCAGCTCCTCATTCACAACCACCTCTCTGCCCCATCAACAGTGAGTCCCCAGAACTCTGCACTGACTCCTTTTCCAAATTACTTTTCTATACAGTTCCCCAGGGGCTCGTCCACCTCCCAAGCAGAGGCAGAGCTGTTTCCCCACAGCAGCACCGGGCTCTGGAAGGTTCCCTGCCCCTTTTGTCCAGGATTTCAAGCTGGGAACACTGTGCTCTCACAGAGCTGCCTCCTTTCCAAAGGAGCTGGAAGTGTTCCTCAGGCTCTGGTCCCAGGAGTGCATTCACCCCTCCAGGCTGGGAGCCTTCCCTCTCCCCTTAGGAGGTGTGAAAAATGTGTATTTTATGATTGGCTTTCTGCAAATATTCAAATGAATGTGATATGTGTTCTGTTAGAAAGTTATGCTGTATTAATTCTCTTAAGTAGTGTGGTAAATATAGTTTTAGGTTATAACATAATGTTTAAATAGAAACTATGCTATGTAAGATACTTTTTTTCTCAAGAAAGGACTTGCAGTGAGATAGCAGCCACAGGACACCTGAATCTTTCAGAGAAAGAGAATTTATTGCTCTCTTAGCAGAAGAAACGAACTTCTTTCTGCCTTGCTCAGCTCTGAAGATGCCGGTTAGGATTAAGAGGAAGAAGCTGACACTGCCCAGACAGAATCCTGTGTTTGAATGAAATTTATGCATCATGTATGAGGTGTATGAATATGCAACAGGTTATTGTTTTTAAGGGTTAATCCTCTGTTAAGGTGGGTCATTTTGGGCTTATTTTACCCAGAAAAAGTTACCGGGATGTCTGTAAATCTTTGTTTCTATTGTCTTCTATTGTCCTAATCCAAATTGTCCAAATGTTTATTACTCTAATTATATTGCTATTTTTATAACCATTTTATTACTATTAAACATTTAAAATTTTAAAAACAAGTGATTTCACAGGAGGGAAGTTCCCAAATCCTGCTGCCGTTGTTGGGGCCCTCAAAGGTCCGAGCCGAGGGGAAGCCCTGCAGCTCCTGCAGCCCAGGAGTGGGAGCTGGGGGAACAGAGGCTCTTTTTGGGAATGCAGCATTAACCTGGGCAAGGGAAGTGTTCAAAAGGCTGAGGACTGTCTCAAAATGTGAAAAATGCCAATCACTTGTTTTTAAAATTTAGAAAGTTTAAGAGTAATAAAATGGTTATAAAAGTAGTAATATGATTGGAGTAATAAAAATTTGAACAATTTGGATTAGGACAATGTAAAACAATAGAAACAAAGAGTTATGGATGTCCAGGTACCTTTTCTGGGCAAAAATAAGCCCAAAAAAGGACACATGTTAACGGAGGATTAACCCTTAGAAACAATAACCTGTTGCCTATTCATACACCTCATACATGATGCATAAATTCCATTCAAACACAGGATTCTGTCTGGTCATTGTCAGCTTCTTCCTCTTAATCCTGATGGCGTCTTCAGGGTTGAGCATGCAGGAAGAAGTTCATTTCTTCTGATAATGGAGCAATAAATTCTCTTTCTCTGAAAGATTTAGGTGTCCTGTGGCTGCTATCTCACTGCAAGTCCTTTCTTTATAAAAAAAGTATCTTACATAGCATAGTTTCTATTCTAACATTATGTTATAACCTAAAACTATATTTAACACACTATTTAAGACAATTAATACAGCATAACTTTCTAACACAACACATATAATATTCACTTTAATATTTTCAGAAAGCCAATCATAAAATATGCATTTTTCACACAAAACAAGTCCTGACCTAAATAATGGATGGGTTTTGTTTGCTGAGGCGTGAGCAGATACTACTCCTCTGCTTTAAGTGAGCAGGCCCAGCGCCAAAGCTATCAATGGAATTATATCTGCTTATGCTGCTGGGAAGTTCTGCTCTTTGCACAGCACTCACTGAGGTGTAAAATGAGGACTTAATGTTACTTGTTTGGACTCATTTCAAAAGCAATTGCTGCACCTGTTCATACCAAGGCACAAAGTTCTTTTATTTTTTTGCCAGAGCCCAACACCACAAAACCTGGATTGAAATAATAATGCTATCTTTTATATTAATCTGCATTTCTTTATTCTTTACTAATAACCTCCTTTCCAAACTGCATTTTGCCCAAAGAAATCAAAATAAAAATCTGTTTCTGCCTATTAGACAATAAGCAATTCCTTGGCTCTGCAGAAGAACAGAAATCTTTCTGTATCGCACAATATTGAGTTGGAACAACGCACCCTAGCTCCTCTGGAGCTCCATCTTCCAGGTATTAACCAGGCAAATGGGACTCCTCAAGAATAATGCACATTATAGTGAATTCCATACCCTCTGAGTGCAATAAAATAATAGAACAAGTCGGATTTCTCCACAGAAAAATCTCAGTTCTTATCTGCACGGCACAGATTGAGTGAAGAGTTCTCCCCTGTGAGTCTAAAGCAAATATCCTGCAAATTTGGAGCTGCTCCAAATATCCTGCCAGACTGCAGGGATTGTGCACACGGGGGCCTTGGCTCTGCAAAGCTGTGAAGATCCTCAGCCTCCACTGGGAGCCCGTGTTGCTTTGAAGGAAAATGGAATTTCACCAAAGGGAGAGGATTTTAACCTAAACAAACCAACAGCACACCACGGTATAAAGTTATTACAGTGAGGAGAGAAATCTTCATTGCCCTGTAGCTACAAACATTTGTGTGCCTGGGGGGAAAAGAGAAAGTGAGTGATGTGCAGAATTTATTGATTTATTGCCATTTGTCTGTGAGCCAGTGAAATGCAGCCAAACAGCCAAACCCACAGGCTCCTGTATGAGCCTGGTGACCTCCAGAGGCTCTTCCCAAATTTTCTGTGAGGTGCACCCTGAATTTGGGAGATGTTCATCACCTCTAAAGGTGGCCCAGAGATCCTGGGGGCATCCAGGCCCATGGAGGCAGCTGCTGTGGATGAAGCTTTCCATCAGGGAAGGCAGAATAAATCCTCCTACCTTTTAAAATATATTTATTTATAGACCAAATACTGTTTCTTCCTGGTGTAAACATTGGCTGAAGTGCCTCCCACCAGCAGAGGCTGCATTCAGATATCTCCAATTTTGCACTTCCATCATTCCCATCTTCAAATCACAGGGCTTTTATGTTTGGTTACCAACACAAGTATCAAATTCTCCCAATAATCCTGAAGGGTTAAAAACACACAGGGCAGAGCTGGCACATTGCTTAAGAGGGCAAAACCTTGTCACCCCTCAGCAGGGCCAATGGTATTCGAACATTTTTATAGTGTTCTGTTTCTTAAGGTTTGTTCAAGATAAGAGAACTTGTGCAAAATTCACAGCAATTCACTGCCTGCCTCAATGAGGAATCTGAGGAAAGTTGGGTTCTCTTGAGCTGCGGAAGCACTGGTGGGTATCAAGTGGTAAAATTAAATAGAGAGAAAAAAACAACTGTGGGAGCATTATTGTTTTAAAACATATGGGCAATGGGAATATCACATAGCAAACATTTATATGTAATTCAGAATGTGTTGATCAAAGATCACCATTGGATTATATTAAAGAGTGTGGCTGAATGTTTCACAAGTACACACACGTGCATTTCAGTGGGATAGAGGTATCTATCTTCCTTAGACTCAGAAAAATTAAAAAAACCCATGCTGAGTGATTAATGCCTAGTTTGGGTTGAAAATACCAGGTTTAATTATGTTTTGACCTAATGGTCATCTCAGAATAGGGAGGGAAAGATGTGGATGGGGGCAGGAGAGGGGTAACGGTGCCAAACACGTCCCCAAATGGCAACACCATTTATAAGACCCATGGGACCAGAGCTTGAAGCCTTTTATTAGCCAAGAAATTCCCATTTCTGGGAGTGCCTCCCACACGACAGCACTGCACCTTGTGTAACCCAGCTCCTGAGCACCAACCCTGTGTGTGACTCTCCCAGCATCCCATTTGTGTTATGCAGCACATCCCCCAGTGCTTTCAGCAGCTCTCTGCAGGGCTCATCACGGGAGATGGATGACAAAGTGTCAGCTCCCCCTGAAGATCTCCCCTCCCTGGGAAGGTGCCAATCTGAGCTGCCACAAGCCAAGGCACGCTCGTGTTCTATCACATGTCAGGAGCCAGCAACAACAGCCTGGAGGGTGCCTTCCCCCGCTCCTCTCCTGTAAACAAAGGAACTCTTTATTGCTGGAGTATCAGAGCTGCAGGAAAGCTGTGAATCCTGACTGCTACACGGCACACAGAACTCCTGCTCCTACAAACAAACTCTGCTGCTGCTGATGCTGCTGGAGGCTTTTATCTGCAAGGCACCTCAGGCACCCTCACACAATCCATTCTGGGTATTTCAGAGTGATTCCAGTGATGGAATTTCACTCTGCTTTTAAGGAAGATGCCACCATTACACAAACAAAATACAGAGCCTTGGTTTAAATTGGGTGGAGGTTAGTTTAATTCCAGATGTATAATTAAATTTATTAAATTTATTAAATTAATTAAATTAAATTTAATAAATCTAATAAAATTTAATCTAATTAATAAATAATGCATCAATATATTTTATATTATATATTTATTAAACATAATATAATACAATGTAATAAAATATAATGTAATATAATATAATAAATATAATATAATATAATATAATATAATATAATATAATATAATATAATGTTATATTATATATAATAAACATATATATATAGTTTATTATAATTTATTTATTACAAATTATTTAACAATAATTTAATTTCATAACATTTCATTTAAATGTCTCAGAACTGGAAGCATTTTGTGGAAGCAGTGGTGACATTAAGTGGCTGGGACTGAATTAAAACTGCAAGGAGAATAAATGGAAGCAGCATTCTTTTTGTGATTCCCATCCTCCAGAGAGAACAATGACCAATTCAGCCTTCCTGGGGAAAAATAAGGACCCTCCCACACAAAAAGTCACAGCAGCCCAGCTGCCACCCAGTCCACATTTTATGCTCCCCATCACCATCTAAAAGCACAGAACTGCATTGTCCACTGCTGGAAGGGTACCCAGGCCAGTGGAGCTGTGGCTTTCTGCTAAGACCCCGTTTCTCTCTCTTCCAGCTGCCCAAATTCCACTCCAAGAGCTTCCTCTCATTTCCAGCGGTGTGCAAAGCCTCCATCTTGCAGGCTTTGTGTGCCACAAACATCCCAGCTCAGAACAGAGCTTAGAACAAC